GCTGTTTCCATGATTAAATCTATAACAAAGTTCAGTAGAAAAGGAAAGGGCAACCCTGACGAACTTCACTTTCCGTGGTAAACTGGAGCGAGAAAGTGCCGTAAGCTTGGACTCGGCTTCGGTTATTGGTATAAAGAGATCGTGATATAGAAATTAACTTCTCGGTCACACCCTACAAGGAAAGTTAGCGCCAGGATAGGTCGATGGTAATTGAGTATTTACTTTATGCAGTAGAAGGTGGATTGGATCGAAGAACCATTTGGTGCGCGCAACACAAGAAGCAAGTGAGGGGATTTAGGAGAGGACTCAGAAGAAAGCAAGAGTTCATGGAATCGAGAGGGCCGGAAGCTGTATTTGGAGAGAAAAATCGGTGTTTATTTGTGATGACCATAAGAAGTATGAGGTTTTACTGTACATCACGCTTATCATATGATACAACATTATATTTTCGAAAATTACCTTTATAGGAACTGCAGTCCATTCCGTACTCCAATGAACGCCTGGGATGTTGACTTGGAGGATCTTGAATCGTCCTTCGTTTTGAAATCTCGACCGAATTCCCAAGATACTTTGTAAGTTAAAGTATGTTATTTTCCTTTCATGCTCATCCTTAGAGCCTTACCCGGAAAACGTGTATACGAGAGTGAACCTGTACGGTCTGACGTGAAGCGTACAAAGAAAGAAGGACCTAAATTCGAAACATACGTGCTTAATTCTGGTGAAGGATGTCTTCATGAAGTGAGTCCTTACTCGTAGAACCCTCATATAATTCACTCCATTCAACCAGGTCGTTTATCCTGCTGGACAGTCACTGAAACCGCTTGTTCCTATTACTGAGCCGGCCAGACAGTATCCATTCACGCTGGATTCGTTCCAACGCGAAGCAGTTACATGCATCGAGAATGGCCAGTCAGTCCTCGTGGCAGCCCACACGTCGGCCGGAAAAACTGTCGTTGCTGAGTAATTAATTGGTTCACCTAGTGTTCATTCGTCCTTTTCAGATATGCTGTTGCCAGGTGTTTGAAAAGAAAACAGCGAGTCATTTATACCACTCCAATTAAAGCGCTGAGTAATCAGAAGTTTCGAGAGTTTACCGAGGAGTTCAAGGATGTTGGTCTTATGACAGGGGATATTACTATTAATCCAAATGCCACCGTTCTCATAATGACGACCGAAATCCTGTTATCCATGCTC